GTAAAAATCCTAAGATCAGAAATTCTAACATGTAGAATCAACTGTTACAGTCTTATAACTTAGACGTTAAAATAACTAAAAATAAACCCAGTGATAATATATTAAAATTATATTATTTATCTAGAAATATTTAAAAACTAAAAGTTTTTATCAATTATTAAAATAATTTATATTGTCATTTTATTTTATAATAAATCTTAAAATTTTATAATTTAACTATAATATTTTAACATTATTATGAGAGATTATAACTTAAAATAAAATTATATAAAGGTAAATAAAATTATGATAATTATTCAAAGAATTATGAGTAGAGATTTACAATAATATTAAAGATTTATAAAATAAATATAAAATAATATAAAGATATTTTAGAGATTATGCTTTAAAGTCTTCAAGTTAATATAGCAAATTAATATAATATTATATAATAAATTTATGAATAATTAGAAGGAATTGCAAATAAATACAAACAGTTTATAAATAAATCTAAATGATGATTAACAGTTATAAAAGATAAGTTTTATACATAGTTATAATATTCCTTTATTAATATAATAATAAGTTCATTACTTAAAAGGATAATTTTTTATTAATTTATCTTTACCAAAAAAGTAATAAGACTTAGTAAGAATACAAAATTATTTATATATATTAAATAATTAATTATTTTAGAAAATAAAGTGAACTCATCAATAAAGTTGATAGATCTGCAAGTAATTAAATTGATATAAAAATTATATTGATTATTATATTAAAGTTAAAAGAATATCTATAATCTATATGAATAATTTTTTTAAGAAAATAATATTAATTTATATGCAAAAAACTACTTTTATTCTTAAATAATTTTGAATTTTAACTAATTTATTTTATTTTGAATTGTTAATATTTTATTTAAATTAAAATCTTAATTTTTTTGTTAAAGGTATATTTCTATTATAAAAGTAAAAAAATCAGAAAAATTAACAAACTCAATTGAAGTTCCATCTGATTTAAATAATGAAAATTGACTAAATTCAACTTAAGGTCTTTTTGTTCTTAGAACAAATTTTTTTTTAGCATTTTGATGAAATGTAAAAAGAGAAAATTTGAAAATGATTGAAATTATTTTTTAAAAAGTTAAAAAATTAAGCTTATTTATATAAATATTTTTATATACCAGAAATAATACATTAAATCAATATTATTTTAGCAAAACAGTTTAATCTAAAAGTACAGTTTATTACAACGATAAAACTATCATTTCTAAGTAATGATAATACTATCATTTCTTAGGTATGATAAAATAATCGTATCTTAAGAATGATAAAATCGTCATACATAAGATACGATAATACTATCATTCCTTAGATATAATAAAACCATTGTATCTAAAAAATGATAATACTATCGTTTCTTAGGTATGATAAAACAATCATTTCTTAGAAATGATAAAACTATCATTCTTTAGATACGATAAAATAATTGTTTCTAAGGAATGATAAATGTATCATTCTTTAGGAATAATATAAAATTATCGTTCCTTAAGAATAATAAAATCATCATATCTAAGGTACAATAAAATAACCGTTCCTTAGGAATAAAGCTCTGAACGGTTCAGATTAATCCAAAAAATTCAATCTAAAAATTTTCAGTTCAGTTTGGATTTTTTCGGAAAATTTCAGATCGTTTAGAACGATTAAATTATCATTTCAAAAGAACGATAAAAGAATCGTTCATTTGGAATGATTGAAGTTATCGTTCCAAATGATGATAAGAAAATTGTTCAATTAGAATGATTAAATTATCATTTCAAAAGAACGATAAAAGGATCATTCAATTAGAACAATGAAATTATCATTCTAAACGAACGATAAAAGGATCATTCGATTGGAACGATTAAATTATCATTCTAAAAGAACGATAAAAGAATCATTCATTTAGAATGATTGAAGTTATCATTCCAAACGAATAATAAGAAAATCGTTCAATTAGAATGATTAAATTATCGTTCTAAAAGAATGATAAAAGGATCGTTCGATTGGAATGATTAAATTATCATTCCAAACGAACGATAAAGAATCGTTCTAAACGATCTGAAATTTTAGATTAATCCAAAATTTTTAGTTCAGTTCAGATTTTTACTGGTTTACGGTTCAGAGTATTATTTCCATATAAATTGATAATGATATTGTTGTAAATATTTTCTTAAGTCTATTTCAGCAATACACATTATAAGAAAATAATCTTTATTTTGAAGATTTTGAGTAAGACCATAAATATGGTAAAATTTTTAGATTTATTGCTTAATATTATTTGAGATACAGCCTATAAATAAGATTTCAATAATTAGTTATCATATTTTTAAAAATAAACAAATTTGATTATTCATTCATATAATAAATGTTAAATTATTACCTCATCAAGCCAACTTCTATTAGCACTTTTCACATTTACTAATTTTTTGAGTATTACTTTGAGTCTACCTAACCTTATTAATTGTTGTTTATTAAAATCCCATTCATCATAGCTTCCATCAATCCAAACTGCTGTAAAAATTTCAGAGCATCCACCTTTAGTTAGATACTCAATATTTTGTAAATTATTATATGGTATCCACTCTACTAATTTATAAGGGAAAAGTGCTTTCATCTGACATTCTTTTATTAAATTATCGATTTCATTATTTCCAGATGTCCAATTTGAAAAATTTGCTTTTAAGTAACTTCGCATACCAATGCGCGCAATGTGTAGTTGCAAAGCATTCTTGTTTGCAATTATTACAAACTCTTTTCACTCCAATATTTAAATCATATTTATAGCTATAATATAGTTTTAATTTTCGTATTGCCTCCGATTTTTCCTCTTTTGTGAGATATTCATCAGCGTAAACCATTTGTTGTTTAAATTTATGCCATTTTTTCTCCGTCTATGTAAATGGTAAAATCCGATCCTCTAAGTAATACATCAAATATTAATTCGCTACGAATGGAGGCCATAATGCAACGAAATATAAAATGTTATTCAATAAAGGTTTAGCGGAATTTAAACTCCGTATTTTATTCAAATATATATATATATATAACATCGAGTTCAGAGATTAGTAATTTAATTTGAATAGAAAGATGATCGTAAAAATGTTACAACGCACCGTAATTTAACCAATAATAAATTGTATTGTACATATTGAGTGCGTTAATATCCGAAATGCGCATTTCGATTTGGGATATCCGAAATGTTCATTTCAGACTTTAACGCATTTGGGCTATAGCAAGTCTAAGTTTTAATTTTTATTATTTTATCTATTTAAAACTATTATAAAATTTTGCTAATATGTTATTAAATTTACCCTCTGAAATTGAGTTGTTACACAATTTCGGAACACGAGATTTTGCTGCACGATGCACCCAAAATATAACGACGCGACGAAATGATTAAAAAAAAAAAAAAAAATTTGCTACACCATTTTCTTTAAATTATAATTACCTACTCAAAGAATATGAAAGCTGAATTAGATATCTAATTATCATAAACGTCAAATTTGTGAAAATCTATAATTATTTTTTAAATAATTTATTTTAGCAAATGTTATTTTTTTTTCAAATTGTATTTGATCTATAAAAATTCGCTACGCCATAAAAAGATTATTAAATGTCCCACTATTTAAGAGGCGCGTTATTTATTGCCAAATTTCCTGCACTAAAAGCATTAACATTCATAAAACGTAAAATTTTATCATTATTTCCGAGAAAATATTCTTTTCCAAAACTATATGGCATAGCGTATATGGGAGGTTTGCTATTAAATCGAGTTAACGAACATAGTAAATCATATGATCCGTAACGTGATTTTAATAGCAAAACTCCCATATATAATTGATTTAACATAAAAGAAAATAAGGATCATTTTTTAATCTGTTGTAAAATGTTCTATGTTACAAATCAAAAGATTATTATTAAAATCCAATTTTCATAATTGTTTTTGTTAGTTCTTGAATTCGTACTACTTTTAATCCTTATTTATTAACTATTATTTTTTACAATGAAATTTTCAAGGTTTATTAAGAGTATTAGCAAATTAACAAGTTATGTAAATAAATTTATAACGATAATATTTTTTTTTTTTTATAATTTCGTTGAGTTATAATTTTGGGTATGTTTTATGGTCAGTAATAAATTAACTGAATTATCTATTATTTCGTCAATGGTTATTCTACAAAGAAAAATGATCTCAAAAAGTTGTAAATTGATAAATCTTAATAATTCTTTAATTTTCAGTAAAAATGATTATGATAAATTCCATAATTTGTTTACGAAGCTCTATGATTGTTTCTTTAGTATTGTTGTATTCATTTCTTTCGTTATTGCATTTATGAACAATTTTGTATTGTAAGCAGAAGGCTTTAATTGAACAAAAAATTTTAATAATATTTATTAATATTTCGCAATGTCAATATACCACTATGAATTAAAACTGCGAAAATACGAAAATTAAAAAAAATAAACTAAGAAAATTCGGGATTTAAAAAAAAAATGAACGAAATTACAATTTAAAAATTATAATGTTAAAACGGCGAAATTATAATATATCGTAAGGGAGCAAAGGCAATTATAAGAAGGGTGAGATATTGAGTTGTTTAAGGATTTGCAAATCATAATTATAAAAAAAAATTATTAGGACAGCCTCGCATTCTACCATCCTGTCATCCTGGCATCAATTTGTTAGGACACCTTATTGTTAGGATGCCAAGTCGTTCTAATTAAAATTTTAATAAATAAATGCTGGTTTCTCTTGAAATTTAAGTTTTTAAGTTTTTAAGTTTTAGCACATTTCACCTTCCTTTATTTATACATACACCTTAATTCCGTCCCTTTTTTCCTTGCGATATAATTGTTTTCGTAATTTTATACTTTAAACTTCGAAAATTTTGTTGCTATAACGATAATATTTTATTATTTTATTTTTCCGGGGGGAAGTGGTCCAAGCTGTTTGCTTTATAGAACCCAGTAGATAGGTGACTAAGAATTTATTCCAGTCCTCCTGCTGCTTAAAGGAATACGGTTAGGAATAATTGGTTGAAATCTTTGCTTCCCGTTATACAACATTACTCCCCTATATAGAGCCCCTCATTATAGCCCAAATGATTTCCTGCTATATGACTTTCGGAACACCTCGTATATACTCGTCATATACTCCATCATATATCCCATTAGAGGCCTGCAACGGGCCGGGCCGGGCCGGGTTTCAAAATTTGGACTTATGCAGGTCTCTATATCCCACCATATACCCCCCCATATATCCTTACGTGTGACCTGGGGTGAGTGAAATGTACATAGAACCTCTCCTGATATGCTACCTATTTTTAGTATGGTACTATAAGAGGGAAATCATAAAGCAAATAGGGATACCAATGTTGCGGAGCGTAGCCGAGCAACATTAAGCAAAGAATGTGAAAAAAAAGTTACCCCACCCAGTTAATATAATTGATTAAGTAGCAAACCTCTTCTAACATCCTAGCCTTATACTGAATGGGTCACATGAAATCCGCAAGCATGTTTTCTACATAAAACGGGTTCAGAGCTTGTTGGCTTACCACAAACCTTAAAAGTAAGACGCTTTTCAGCCTTCTAGTGTTCATGATAACGCATGGACAGGATTTCCAGCAGAAGTAAATAGTTATAAGAATATTTTCCCTAAATATTTTACCTTATTTCACTCGTGAAAACATTATTTTGACTTAACCATAAATAGAAAATTCGATAAGGAAAGTAAGCCTTTTTTTTGCTTCCTCCAGTACCTGATTATCTATTTTACTTTCAATTAATACCCCGCAGGTTTAAAATGAATCCGTTAAGAATTCGAAAAGTAAATGTAAGAAGATTTCTTCGCACATTCTAGACGATATTATTTCCATAAACTCGAAAAATTGTTAGAATTTGATTAATGAGATCAATTAAAATACCTTCCTAGATAAAATTAACCATAATAATTAATAGCAATAACAAAATAAATGATCAACAAATATATTTAGATTTTTTTTAAAAAAAAAGTAAATACTTGATTAATTGAATGAAGAATAATCATTGATATTTGAAAAACATAAAAAATTTCAATCCAAACAACAAAAATTGAATAAGATATTAATTGAGAGTCTATTGCTTCAACGCTTTAGTCTGTCAAATTAAATACAATACAATCACGCCTATGATACTTATCATAATAATTACATAGCCGTGAAGTTATTTGTCACGAAGAAACTTTTTTTTTTTTAAACTTCGTCTATAATATTATTTATATAAAAAATAAATTAAAAATTAGTTTATAATTTAGCATGTATGTTAATTATTCATTAATTAATTAAATTTCTATTTAGGTAATCTTTATTTTAATTATTTTTTTTTTTTTATTTTTTTTTTTATATTCACTTTATTCTTTTTTATTATATTTTATTTTTTAAAAAAACAAACAAGAACGAAAAAGGAAAAAGAAAAAAGAAAAAAAAGAAAAAGAAAGGAAAGGATAGGAAAAGAAAAGAAAGAAAAAGGACCAAAGAAGCAAAGTACCCAAGGACGAAAGAAACAAAAAATGAAAAAAGCAAAGAAACCAAGAAGAAAATAACCAAAGAAGCAAAGAACTCAAGAAGCAAAGAACCACTAACGAAAGTACTAAAGAACCAACAACGAAAGGACAAAAAACCACCAACAAAAGAACCAAAGAACCACCAACGAAAGTACTATAGAACCACCAATGAAAGGACCAAAAAACCACCAACGAACCACCATGAACTACCAACGAACCACCAATGAACCACCAAGAAACCACCAAGAAACCACCAACGAAAGGACCAAATAACCACTAAAGAAAAGACCAAAGAACCTCTAACGAACGACCAACGAAAGGACAAAGAACCACGTACGAAAGGACCAAAGAAAGGATCAAAGAATCACCAACGAAAGGACTAAAGAACCACCAACGAAGGACCAACGAAACCACCAATGTAACCACCAACGAACTACCAACGAAGGACCAAAGAATCACCAACGAAAGGATCAAAGAACCACCAACGAACCACCAACGAAAGTACCAAAGGACTTCCAAGAACCACTAAAGTACCACCAAAGAAAGGACAAAACCACCGAAGAATCACTAACGAAAATACCAAAGAACCACCAGAGAACTACCAACGAAAGGACTAAAGAACAATGAAAGGACCAACGAAAGGACTAAAAAACCACCAACGAAAGGACCAACGAAACCACTAACTTACCACCTACGACCACCAACGAGCCACCAACGAACTACCGACGAAACCACTAACTAAAGGACCAAATAACCATCAAAGAATGACCAACGAAAGGACCAAAGAACCACCAAAGAATTAAAAAAAGATATATTAAACAAAATGAAAAAGAAACTAAAAAAAAAATAAAATAAAAAAATTAGATTAAATAGAGATTAAAAATTAAAAAAATATCTAAAAAAAAAATTACCGATGAGGGGAATTTTTAAAAAAATACCGTGGGAATTTAAAAAAATTAAAAATAAAAAATGCCAGTGGGGTATAAAATATGATATATATAAAAATATACAAATAAAAAAAATATAAAAAAAATAATGATATATATTAAAAAATAATAAAATAATTACAAAAAAAATTTTGAAATTAAAAAAAAACTAAAAATAATTATTAAAAAGCAAAGTTACTATATGCCGTGACGAACTTTAAACGCGAATATCTCGATTCCACCTGTCCGCTACCTTTCATACTTGATATGCAGATTCGATTGGTTATTCTCTTTCAAACAAGACCAAATATGTCCAAATCCAATCACTTAATCCTGAGATATTTGAGAATAACTGAAAGCAATTATTTTGCAGTTCATCACGGAAGTATATCAAGCAGATGTGAAAACCAGAACCGAAGCAAAAGGAACTGTCCGAAAAGTAATGAAGCAGAACACTAATTACACCATCAGAAAACCTAATGAAGGTGAGAAAACTGTATATTAATATGTAAGAAAATGAAACAGCTTTGAGAGTTGGTAAAAAAACAAAAAAACGATTTGCCGTGACAAAATTTAAACGTGAATATCTCAGCGTCTACCAGACTGAGCCCTTTCAAACTTGATAGGCAGATTCTATAGGTTCTTTTCTTTAAACAAGACCATGACCATCCCGATCCAATCACCCAATCCAGAGATATTCGGATAAAACTGAAAGCGATTATTTTGAGGTTCATCACGAAAGAATTTCAAGCAAGTGTAACTATCTGAACTGAAGCAAAAGGAGCTGTCCAAAAAGTAATGATATTGAATACTAATTTCAGCATCAGGGAATCTAAAGGAGGTGAGAAAATTGTATGTTAATATGTAAGAAAATAGGGTTACCCATGAGTGTTTAAAATCAATTATTTAAACTGCAAATTCTTAAAACCCTTGAAATGAAGCAATCATGTGATCTAAAGGCCATAGAAATTCCAATTCAAGACAACCGATTCAGCACTAAGAGAGCTTCATAACAAGTTAATATTTATCAAATCAGATCACTGGAAGCTGAAATGGCTTTGAAAGTTGGTAAGATCTTGAGCTGATCTAAAATCAATTTTAGAGAAAGTATTCATGAGCAAATATTGAATTAATTTTCTAGTGATGTCAAGGTTTTTTACCTAAAAGAAATGAAAAAATTGCCCATTATTATGTAAAAATATAAGTTATCTATAGAGTCTTAACAATTCACCCTAATCCAATCTAAACCTTAATTAATAACAATTTATTACAACCTAATTCAATTCAATTCAATCATTCTAATCTGATTTTAACCCAAAACAACTACAATTTCAACTCCAACCCAACCCAACTAAACCTAACTTATCTTAGAATTTGTTAAAACTTTACCTTTTTTTTATCGCGAAGCGATCCCAGGGCATCGCCCAGGTAGAATTGCTAGTCCTATAATATATTACGCCAGTGGGTTCACTAACAAAAAAAGTCACATCGCCTCTTCAGACGGGTTATGCAACCACGGTAGAAAAAACAATAAACAAAAATTGCGTCATGATATAAAAACAAATATATCGCTGAGATCTGGTGAAATCTTTTATTTTAATTATTTTTTATTTTATTTATGTTCTTTCTTTTTTTTTGAAAAAAAATGAAACGAGAATGAAATACGAAAATGAAATGAAAAAAAAAAAACAAAAAAAGAATAAAAAAGAAAAAGAAAGATAAGACTAAAAGAAAATAAAATGAAAATAAAACGAAATAAAAAAAAGGAACAAAAATAAAAATAAAAAAAAAACGAAAAAGAAATAAAAAAGAAAAAACTACAAATTAAAAATTAAAGCTACAAAAGAAATCTAAAAAAAACGAAAATGATAAGTAATTAGTAAAAAAAAAAAAGTTTAAATAAATAAACAAAAAAAAAAAAAATAAAAAGAAAAAAACAAAAAAATGAAAAAAAAAAATAAATAATGAAAAGGGAATTAGTAATCCCAATCAATGCAAAAAAATAGATCAAATTGTCACATACCTGACTATATCACTATGACAAACTGATCGATCTGAATCTAAAGAAATCATCTTAGAAGATAAAAAAATTAAAATAAATAATAATAAAAAGGGGATTAGTAATCTCAATCAATATAAAAAAAAAGAATCAAATCATCATGCATCTGACTATATCACCGTGATGAGCCAAAGGTATCTAAAGTGTCACATCCAAAAGAACGAAATCATTCTGTATTTTTTTTTTAATTAATTTATTTTTTTTAATGTCTTCCCTCCCCTTTTTTTAATTTCGTTTTTATCTTTTCATTTTTATTTAATTTATTAATTAATTTATTTTTTTTTAGTTTTTATACATACCATTTTTTTTATTCATTCCCTTTCACTTCGGTTTATCTTTTTTTTTAATTTTGTTTTTATATTTTAATTTATTTAATTTATTTAATTTATTTAATTTATTTTTTATTTCATTTATCTTATTCAACTTTTAATTTAGATTTTAGATTTTTTTTTATTTATCCCCCTTTCCCCCCCTTTTTTTCCCTCTCTCCCATTTATTTTTTTTTATTATTTTTAATTTTGTCTTTATTTGGATTAGGATTGGGATTAGGATTTGGAATTAGGATTGGAATTTGGGATTAGAATTGGGATTGGGATTTGGAATTTTTTTCGATTCTAACTCCCATAGGTTATAATTCAATGGGCATTAGATGTTATCCCAAATCCCATAGGTATAGATAATAAATATATCACTTTTGCTATAGATTCACATAAGGTCTTATTGAATCGCTCAACTAATCCATTAGTTTAAGGATGGTATAGCATTGATAA